AAAAAAACTCTTGGGCTTAAGTGATTCTCTTGCCTCAGCCTTCCAAGTAGCTGGGTCTACAGGTGCCCGTCACAACACCGGCTAATTTTTGTTGCAATTGTCATTGTTTAGCAGGCCTGGGCCGGTTTGAACCCACCTGCCTTGGTGTATGTGGCCGGCGCCCTAACCACTTAGCTATAAAAGTTTTAATAATATACTTAGACTTTTTTCCTTTTGGACAACACTTAAGTCAAGTCTAAGAGAAGTGGTATTTAATCTTCATTGTTAACATTAGCTATATGGTAGATGTGGCTGATTTTCAGTGTTGTTCTCTTTGCTACCCTCCCTGTTTCTTCCCTTCCCTCCTCCCTCCCTTCCTTTCTTCTTCCATTTTTCGTTTGATAGAGTCTTATTCTGTTCCCCAGTCTAGAGTGCCAAGGCATCAGCCTAGCTCCCAGCAACCTCAAACTCCTGAGTTCAAGTGATCCTCCTGCCTCAGCCTCCCAAGTAGCTGGAACCACAGGTGTCCCCCACAACTCCTGGCTAATTTTTCTATTTTTAGTAGAGACAGGGGTCTTGATCTTACACAGATTGGCCTCTAACTGGAACTTCTAAGCTCAAGGCATCCTTCTGCCTCGGCCTCTCAGAGTGCTAGGATTACAGACAGGCATGAGCCACTGTGCCCGGCTTTTGCCACTTTTCTTAATGTGAATAAATTTCACAAACTGTAGTTCCACGGCAAAGGTACAGAAGGAAAATTCTCCAGGAATCACAATAGTGACTTTCATGCATTTCAATATTTTTGAAGCCAATGAAATACTTACTTTGAAAATTGAAAATGGATCAGTGTGTGGTGGGACTTGCAGCTGGAGAATGAATTTGAGTTGGGAAACCAGAACATGAATGGCAGCAGCTGTGGTGAAGCCACTGATTAGGGACTCAGATAAGTACACCACAACGAATCCAATCCGTAGAACCCCCATGATCAACTGCAAAGAGAACAAAAGTCTTTGTTAGCACAGAGAGGAGTGCGCCTTGGCAAGGCAAACTAAAGGATCAGCAATTGAAATAATTCAAAATGGAAAGGCTCAAGCTGTATGTATATGCCTCAGAGAAGCAGATGTTTCTGCCTCCTTAACACTTCCCACCCCAGGGGTCCTCCCTCTCCTTCCCTTCCACCCTACCCTCCAGGTTGAATGTTACATGATGTTCAAATAGGATGTAAGTCTGGTATATCCCCAATTCTGCCTCCTTATCCCTAGACCCATACTTTTAGGAAGGACTCATTCATATACCTCTTTAGTGTCAGCCCTCATAAATTTGCAGATGTGATTTTAAGTTACACTTTCTGCTTCCTAGAGCATGGATGAGTGAGTGTCTACTCACATTTCCTCAAAAAATTACTCAGCTTGCTTGAGAAAAACACATCTGTCATTGGACATCAGAAATAATCAATTGTAGGTGTGAAATAGATTGTTAATTACAGCCCCTCCCCCCCAGCATCATTGTTCCACGATAAACTAAACTGGATGGATTCTTCTTTCTCGACTGTCCGTCTGTCTTTCTACTAATGTCTCCAGAATGCAGCCAGAGCCGTGGGTGTACAAAGTCCAACTGGGTTCCATTTTTGTCCTAGGTTTAGAAATGATTTAGAAACTAGCCAATTTGTCTATAAGGCACACAGTTATGTCTCTGTAATAAGTGACTTTTCTTTCTTTAATGAGAAATGATCATTAGCCATAAGCTTAGGCAATGTCTTGAAGAGTCTGTGACATTTGCACTCTTCAGTAACACTGTCAGGGTAATAAGACTTGGGAGAAGGACTTTAGGCCCTACCATAATCTTCTTCAGCTTTCCTGAAATCTTTGAGATGAACAGCATCAAGTGCTAAGCCCCCATCCTTTTCAACTAAATTATAGCTGCTGAGGAATTTAAAAAATTAAAAAAAAAATCTAAAGCCTCCAAGGTCTCTATATAGTTATGTTTCTCTTTTTTCTTTGTCTTTTTTTTTTTTTGAGACAGAGTCTCGCTGTCACCCTCAGTAGAGGGTGTGGTATCACTGCTCACAGCAATCTCAGACTCTTGGGCTTAAGTGATTCTCTTGTCCCAGCCTCCCAAGTAGCTAATACTGTAGGTACCTGCCATAATGCCAGGCTGTTTTTAGAGAAGAGGTCTTGCTCTGGCTCAGGCTGGTCTCGAACTTGTGAGCTCAAGCAATCCACCTGCCTCGGCCTCCCTGAGTGCTGGGATTACAGGCGTGAGCCACCGTACCTGGCCTGTTCCTTGACTCTTATAAACTCCCAGGCATTTTACTGAATTGAGCCATAATAGCGTCATTCCTCACCACTCGGGCCTTCCTGTTTCCCTTTTTTCTTCTATCTAAACACACGTTCACTCATTTTTGCAATGTGGATCCACTCCTCACATTTGGTTGTGATGAGGGATCCTTCTTAAATTATTTCCTATGGGCTACTGAAGAAGTGTCGCAAAAGGGAAGACGGAGAAGGGTGGCATGAGGGAGAAAAAACCAGAAAGATGTGTACCAGCAGATTGGGGTGGTAAGAAACATGAGAAAGTGCTCACCTGGATAATTCCAGCAAGCATGGAGACTGTTGCAGCCACCAACACCTTCCGCTCCTCCAATGATAATGACACGTTACTTGCCGAACTATTTGTCAATTCTG